TGTTTTTATAGTTTCATTTAGCAAATTGTTTAAGTCGACGCTTTTGGTCACATCGGCCACAATAGCTAAAGGCTAATAAAATTAATAAATTACAGTAAATCAACACAATTTAATTAGTTTAAAATGTTTAATTTTCTTACCTGGAGTTTTTTAGGTGACAATTGTTGCGCCTCTTGAGCCACACGATTCACTCGATCCGCTTTACGTCCGGTGATCACAACATTGGCCCCGAGAGCCGAGAATAGCTTAACGATTCCCTCCCCGATCCCGGAGCTCGAACCCGTCACTAACACTACTTTACCCGTAAAATCGCGTCCATTTCTTGCATTCATGAATACACTATTATCGACAGTGTTTTCACAGTAAATAATGCTTGCATTTAAGGCAAACACATATAATAACACAGAAATGTATGAAAAATTCATTATAACTTTCTATCAGTTTTGATGAACAGACTAAACAATAAATGAAAAGTTAAAAATATTATTTTAAAAATTAAAAAATTATAAAGTTAAAAATTATTGTGTATATCTGTATGAAATGAGATGTTTATTTATACACATCCTGATGCAATCAAGTGTTAGCGATAATAATCTTTGTATTTATTATAAAAATTTATCTGTTGTTTACATTATACACCTAGGTGCAATCAGTGCAGCTACACTACAATTGCTTTGCACTAAACCATATTGACAATATATTTGTTAGTAATAAAATGTTTTTGTGAAATTCAAATACTTTTTTAATATTTAATGAAGTATATTATATAATCATTGTAATTATTTTTACTGAATTATAATACATATCAAAGTAAGCCGGGAAAAAGTAAAATATTTATTGAAGGTTGCAAAGTGTACGCACACTAAAAAAGTACTTATACTGTATTAATTAAAGTAGTATTTTAAAAATACCTAAACCGCAGGCAATCATTTGCTCATTTATCCAGCAGATAGGTCTTGGTTGATTAATTAATTATGCTATATTTAATTTTAAATCATTTGACTTGCATAAAATGCATTTTATTTATTATTTCTATATTAGTACACTGTACAGTGCAATCAAAATAATACAAATGACATAAACATTGTTAATCTTATTAATGGCATTAATCTAGCATTAGCAAGTAAGCAACGTAACACTAAATAATAATGTTAATTTATAATTTGAAATTAAATTTATTTAAAATATTTTAATGATCAAAATCAATTATATAACATGTATGTGGTTTAAATTATTAGTATTTTATTTAAATAATAATGGTTTAGAAAATTTAATTTAATAAAAATTTTATTTTGCTTGATTATAATATAAATACCATATTATAGTAGTATACTTCACATAAATAGCTAATTATAAATTTTAGAATGCTGCAATTATAACTCATTAATAATGTAGTTAATTTTATAAAATTGACATGGTTGTCATTTGCCCTGCAATATTTTATTTATTTATATGAGTTAGTATAAAAATTATATTGGTAAAAAAACATTAATAAAATACATTAGACTTATTTTTATATGATTAACGTTAAATTACATTTTAGTCAACCAAAACATCTAAAGTTATATAAAAAATTTAAATATTATCATTCTATCAATGATTGTTAAGTATTTATGAGTTTAATTGTAAAATACATTACAAAATTATTTATAAAATGCCACCCGTGTTATAAAACACCCCGCCGTCGACCACTAGATTAGCGCCCGTTATATACTGCGCGTCCTTTGAGGCCAAAAAGGCCGCAGCATTGGCCACATCCAGGGGCTGACCGATCCGTCCCATTGGTATGCGTTTAAGTATTTGTTGCCGAAACATATCCACAGTTTTCTCATCTAAGCCACTGTTTTGGTCAAAGTTGGTTGCGGTCACTCCTGGGCTATAAGTATTCATATAATTATTAGTTTTTATAATCTAAATGGAAAAGTTAAATGTATATTACTTGATTGCATTCACGCGTATTCTGGGCCCCAATTCCAGGGCCAGTGTTCGGGTCATAATATCACCCCCAGCTTTCGATATGGCGTAAGCGGTGCTATATTTCATCTTATAAATAAATTTAAATTATTATAATTGTAAAATAAAAACAACATTTAACAATATTGTACTGTTTAACATATAATAATATATTTGATTGCAATTAAGATTATAAATTAATTACCGGAACCATTCCCATGACAGCGGATATACTGATAATCGTGCCATTCGTTGCCTCTAAATAAGGAACCGCCAAATGGGTTAACTTTAAGTAAGCCCTGAGATTAACCTTAATTAAAGTGTCAAACACTTTCATAAAGTTGGGATCCTTTACGGGTGAAAATATGCCCAGTCCTGCGCTGTTGACCAACACATCTAATTTACCAAATGTTTTTATCGTTTGATTTAACAAATTGTTTAAATCGCCGTTTTTGGTCACATCGGCCACAATAGCCAACGGCTAATAAAAAATATATGATTACAAAAAGTTACATAAAATTAAAAACGTTAATTTTTAATACCTTAAGTTTCTTGGGCGACAATTGTTGTGCTTCTTGGGCCACACGATTCACTCGATCTGCTTTACGTCCGGTGACCACAACATTGGCCCCGAGAGCCGAGAATAGCTTAACGATTCCCTCCCCGATCCCGGAGCTCGAACCCGTCACTAACACTACTTTACCCGTAAAATCGCGTGCATTTCTTGCGTTTTTAAATACACTATTATCCACAGTATTTTGGGATTGAATAGTGTTTGAATTTAAAGCCAACACATATAAGAACACAGAAATGTATGAGAAATTCATTATAACTTTTCGATCTTGGGTTTTGAACAGAATAAGCACTAGTTCAAAAACTTTAAATTGAGTTTTGAGTTATTGTATAAGATAAACGTCTTTTTATATACGAAAATCAGTTATATTTTAACGATAGTACACTTACACTATAGTAATAATTTTTATATCTTAATCGTTTACATCGAAACAGGTATTTTATTACTATAATAACCGGTCACTTAAAGGTTAAGAATCTTGGTGCAAATATTTTAATTCGGATTCACTTTGTTAGTAATTGAGTTATTGATAAATTATTTATCATTATAACTTAATATAACTATACACTACATTGTATTTGTAAATTGTACACATAATTATAGATAATTAATTTTTCTCAATGAATATTGAATATCATTTGTAAAATTCAAATGCTAATATATTATATTTATATAATTTAGTTTACAAGTTTATTTTATTTAGTTTTTATAAATTATAATATACTTATAAATTGTATCAATATTATACAAAACATACATGGCATGAAATGAATTTATCACATGTTTTGAGTTTAACTTTTATATAACCCCTTTATCACAAGCTATTTAAACTTTGTAACACTTTTGGTATTTATTTAATATTTCATTAAAATTTTTGAAGAAAAAGCGATGATTGTAGAGGTTTTTTGTGACAAAAGTGCGTTTTCGGGACTATTAAAAAAAATATAAAAATAGGCTTTTTGGGAGTGTTCTCAAAATATGCACAAAATCGGAAAATATAAAAAATATAAAATCTATATTTATTACGCCCAACTGTATATACAGCATAAGCCCATAAGCCTAACGGTATGTAATTCCCAATGTTTTTATTCACTAATTTTATTCGAGAGTTCTCGATAAATAGAAGTTTTAATAAGAACTGGTTAAAAAATTAAATTTAATAATGGTTTTATTTTGTTTAGTTATAAAGAAGTATACTACACATAAATACATGTATATTGTCAATAATAAATTTTAGAATTCTGCATTTAAAACTCATTAAAATTAATAATTTTATTTGAAATATTTTATTTATTGAAATGAGCACAAAGTAAAATGTAAAAGTTTATGTTGATATAAAAATTTTAATAAAATCAGATTTATTTTACATATTAAACGTTAAATTACATTGTAATCCACAATATTTATATTTACAACCATTCAAAAATACCGCATAACAACTAATTATCAAGTATTCATGAGATTTATTGCATGATATTTTGCAAATGTATTTATAAAAGGCCTCCACTGTTATAAGTAGCCCCGCCGTCGACCACTAGATTAGCGCCCGTTATATACTGCGCGTCCTTTGAGGCCAAAAAGGCCGCAGCATTGGCCACATCCAGGGGCTGACCGATCCTTCCCATCGGTACGCGTTTAATATATTGTTTTTGAAACATTTCCACACTTTCCGCATCTAACCCGATGTTGCCGTTGCGGTCAAAGTTGGTTGAGGTCGCTCCGGGGCTATGAGTATCAATATAAGTATTAGTTTCGAGAATCTAGATGCAAAAGTGAGATGTATATTACTTGATGGCATTCACGCGTATTCTGGGCCCTAATTCAAGGGCCAGTGTTCGGGTCATAATATCGCCGCCTGCTTTCGATATGGCGTAAGCGGTGCTATATTTAAACTAGTAAATAAATTTATACTCATTATAATTGAAAAATAATAATAATTTATAACAACGTTATACTGTTTAATATGTAATAATTACCGGAACCATTCCTATGACGGCGGATATACTGA